CATAATTGGCTTTTCTATTTATTAGAAGAAATAAATCAAACTTATCCTATTATAGGAATAGAGAACCTTGACTTGACTAAAAGATAGAAGAATGATATTTAGGTCTTTTTATTAAGAAGTGTAATCCAGAGTGTAAGCCAGCAAGTACGTGTAGCAAGGTCGTTTCTAAAATATCTTTTATTCTAGCTATCTTTGTTCAAGAAAAAAATGGGCATGGTTTTAGTTTATGGAGAAAAGTGTGGCTGGAAGGAAGAACATGTAGCCCTTACTAGAACTTTTGTTTTATGAAGAACCGAGTTGGAGAGAAAAAAGTCCTGCCATTGACACTCCCGTTGAGCTAATTTTTTGCCATCACCTCGTTCCAGTAACAATTCTTTTTTTGTGGCTGATTCCTTCCACTTTTTGTCAGAAGTAAATTTTTCGAAAAATTCTCTTTAGGTGCTGTCTTTGCTGGTTTTCAGTAGACCACTGCCAGGAAAACCATATTTTTCGATGGCTTTTTGATACGTGGTAAAACATGATTAATGTACCGTTTTCCACAGACGACACAAATCCATTGACCCAAAAAAATGAGCCAAGAGAATCACTGTGACCTCCCATTTGTTATGAAATGAATCGCATATACATAGAAGTGAAAATGGGCAAAATGAGCCTGTGGGCCTAATAGGTAGGACCCGAGCCCAATATTAGATATTTTAGGGATAATTTGGTCCAGTACGGCCCATTAATTGAAAAATTGACTAATTCCCTTTCGCTTTTAAAACTTCCATTAACCATATAATATACGTTCTCTCAGATGAAAAATGAATACAATTCAACCCAAAATCAATGATTTCTCTTAACCAATTTCAGGCGATTTCAGACACTCTCTCCTCCAACGCGGAGGACTCAAAAGTAGCATAGCTTCCTTTCTCAAAATCAAACCAAGAAAGTTAAAGAATAATGTTATTGAGAAGTTCTTCATCACCAATCTTGAATTCATGGATACCCAATTCAACAATCGGGTCATCACCCGAATTCGATATTATATTGCTGCGGAGGAAGAAGCGTGTGTGGCGGTGGCAGATAATGCAAGTGTGCCCCAGGCTTTTGTGATGGGCGATGGAAGCGGAGTAGGTCACCAAGTGTGCGGGGGTGGTGGCGGAAGAGGGTCGGATGATGGGTTGGGTTCCGGTTCACAAGATCCGAATAGCTGGAAAGGGATTGAGAGTGCATATTCTTATTATCAAAAAATGATTGAAGCAAATCCTAGCAATACTCTCTTTTTAGCAAATTATGCCAAGTTCTTGAAAGAGGTTAAAGGAAATTTTGCAAAAGCAGAAGAGTATTATGGCATGGCAATTTTGGCTGATCCAAGTGATGGCAGTGTTTTATCACTCTATGCTGATCTAATATGGCAAACTAAAAATGATGTTGCTCGAGCCGAAGCTTAATTTGATCAAGCTGTTAAAATTGACCCCAATGACTGTTATGTGCTAGCCTCATATGCTAGTTTTTTGTGGGATGCTGAAGAAGTAGAGGAGGTTGAAAACCGATATGAAATTGACGAAATTGATTCTCATCCCAAGTTCTTCCAAGAGGCATCTCGTTTGCCTCCCCTAGCTGCAGCTTCTTAATCTAAGCTCACTGTGTTACGGTCATACCATATAAGTCGAGCGCTCTAGAAAAAGTTAGTCGAATAATCATTTTTATGTCTGAATTTTGTTTTTTCGATCCATCTTTTGTCCCACCACTGCTTTATCTATGATAATGTTTGGCCTATAGATGAAGTTGATGTTGTTGCTGTTGCTATTATCTAGTTTCTCTTGTAAATATATGAGAAAAATAAATAGACTGACTGTCACTTTTTTTATTGTCCGTCATTTTTTTAATTTGTGTAACTTCTTTTAATTTATGTTACTTTTTTGAATTCGTCACTTTTTTAAAATTTATATCATTTTTTTGAATTTTTGTTACTTTTTTTAGTATTTATCACTTTTTTTTTGAAATTTTGTCACTTTTGTTTGTGTTGTTACTTTTTTCAGTCATCTTCTTGATTTCTATCACTATTTTTTATTGACAAACATCAATTTTTAATAAAAGTGACAATGCATGTCATTTTTTAATAAAAAAAAAAGTGACACTTAACTTTTAAAAGTGGCATTGTGTTTCATTTATTAAAAATTTACAATTTTTATAAAAAAAATGGCATTGTGTCACTTTTTAATATTATACAGTATTTTTTACTTCCAAAATTTTTTTCATATGATTTTTTAAAAGACCCTTAATTTTAAGGGTATTTGTGTAAGTTACCCGATATTTTATGGGTATAATAATAATAATAATAATAATAATAATAATAATAATAATAATAATAGAGAAGATATTTCAATATATATATAGCCACCAAAAAAAATGAGAGGGAAGAAGCAGTCGACAAAGACGAGGAGGAAGCCGCCACCTGCAAAAATTGAGAGAGAAGCAATCGCCCCTAGACTTTTACAATTGTTTCTAGGTGTTTAACTTTGTTGGGCCTTTCTATTTAGGCCCCGTTCGGGAGGGATTAAAATCCAATTAAAATTGAAAATATGGTCGTTATTGGGTCACACTCGTCTAATAAAAGTCAACAATAACGGCTATATTTTCGATTTTAATCCCTCCCATACAATGCCTTAATATGTGAGTTTTTGCCCATTTAGTTTTTATGTGACGAAATAATTATTAGAAAAATAATTTACAAATGTTAAAAACTTAAAATATTCTTAAACTTAATATTAATTCTTTTAAAAGTTTATATTGATATAGTAATTTATTTTTTTAAAATAGTACACATATTTATAAGATTTAATTAATT